AATATACATAGCGAGTATTCACGGGTCATTGAAAATAAGGGCCATAGAGTATGTTCCAAATTGGCTTCATTATACCCAAACTTTCCTTGATAGGTTCTGCTTAGAATCCAAAGTTATTGTATTATTAATTGTTTTGCTTTAATGATCTTCATTGTTATTTTGGTCTTGAATACAGCCTTCTCATTTGGCCAATATTCATTTTTTTTCAACGTTTAAACCTGTCATTTTTGAAATAAATGCCCATGACAAGTATGTGTGAGATCAGATAGTTCGAAATGTGTTACACAAATACATTTATGATTGAGACACATTAGTGCTTCTTATTGTTTCGTGAAGATTTATAAAGACAGCTAAATATTTCAGAGATTAATCTTATAAGAGATAAGCAGTAAGGACCTGACGGCCTACTTCGAACTTCGGCTACCAACGTTTTCCACGGAACATAAACATCACATCTTTTCCTTTCAATTTGTTTAACTGATTTAAATATGTTCTCTGAATGTATCATGTACTCTTGCACTTTTTAAAAATGTTTCAAACCCGTCGTTTCTTCAATTAATATTAAAGCAGAGACAAATGTCACGTTAGATGAGAGTGGACTTTTCAGTGTGCTAAAGTACATCAAATTTCGATCTCTTGGATACTTAGCTTGAGTTGCAGATTCTTGTATTGGCTGAATGAACCACCGCCACCACACTTACGTTGCCGTTTCTGTTGATTCTTCATCCTTGACCGGACACTAATCTAAAATCGGCTGACTTTTTCACATTATTGCCTTATATACTGTTATTATTAAAATTGTTCAGACGAAATAACCATTTCCTCTGAAAATATTGTTCTGGGAGTGATTTTGTTGAAAAATTACATGCTGAAAATTCCATACTGTATCACACATATCGTTTAGAATAAAGCGATTATTATTATTACAAGTATGATAACCCAGCAGATTAAAGGAAATCTCCCGTTAGCAACCATCCAACGTCTCATAGGAAGAGTTGAGTACAGACACAATTCCCCCACGTCAAGACTCACTGCATCCTTCAAGAACTGCAAAAGTTGGAAGAAAACCAGCTTTATAAGCTATTCATAGTTGATAACTATTCAACTAAATTCACCAAGAAACTCTTATCAAAAGAAAGCAAATTAGGACAGTTACCTCAACCTACGAAAAGAATCAATTCACCATACATCAAAGATATATCGGAAACTGTCAACCGGTTACTTCACCCGTTCGGTATCAGTATGACAGACAGACCAACTGAATCCATGCAGAGAATATCATCCACACTGAAGGATCCATTGTCTAAGAAAGACAAGACCAATATAGTCTACAAAATTAGTTGCAGAGACTATGTTAGTCAACGACATCATATATCATCATTAATATAGTTACACGTAGATCAGCATAACCACAATTTCAGTTTGGACAATACGGTAATACTACAATAAGCGCTATCAGAAAATGCAAGTTACCTCCTGGAAGCATGGTACTTCAGTCAAATGGTAATCAACAGACAAGTGGATATTGACACAATTTACACATCGCTAAAAGGAGATCCATCAACTAGAAGTCAGTCAAGCAAATCAATAATCAGATATTAGTTCAACAACATAGTTCAAATGATAGCGGTAATTACAAAGGCCAACTTCTAGTAAAAATGAAGGTGAATTCACTCGTATTGACAAGCCAATACCGCTGGAGGCTAGTAAACGTCTTTCATCAGCATTCATATAGCTTATAAGCTCGTCACTTTCCTATGATTAATTTACCTGGTCAGGTGTGGAAAAGTCCTACAATAAATCTCAAATCTTGGAAAACTCCAAATAATTATCATTTTCCTTTTGAGCTAACAATTTCATTTACTGTCTCAAACTACTCAGTACACTTCGTATGTTTTCGTGCAATTTTTTGAGAGACATCCCCTGCTGAAATGTGAGAGTACGCTTGTTGAGATATCTGATTTCAATTACTTGAAAGCAGTTGGCCTTCCACCTGGGTTTCATGCTTTTTGATATTCATCAGTAAGGTGTGTCTGCCACCTCGATGGAAATTATGTTCCTCCTGAGGTTCAAACCGACGTCATCCAGTGTTGGAGTTAGCAAGGTTACTGCCGAGCTATTCGCCCCGTGATGGACCTCCAGATCCGATGCATTGACTGGTCACTAAGGACCAACGAATTCTATGTCGTCTAGTCCTGAGTGTAGATCGAATTCCGTAGTAGCTAACATAGCCCTAGTTAACTTGTATCCTGTTGAGGAGAATTCAGTTTAATTTCGATGAGTCAAATGCTGATTATTGCACCATATATTCTAATTATTGTGAGAAGTAATGTATACTTTTCAGTATGTAATTGAAATCTTATCATATTTGATGATACAACAGACAATTCACGAATTGATAAATTATTGAATTAAATAGAAGGTACTATACATGTAAGGAAGTGAAGACAGGAGTAAAACAAAGCTGTCTACCATCACCCATTATATTCCTGATTGTGGTCGACTGGATCATGCAATAAACAGTGAGAAGGAAGAAGAGAAGGATACACTACACCGAGGAAAAGATCACAGACAGCGATTTGGATGTCACACAAACTTGTAGATCTACAGACTAAAACTAACAAGTTGACAGAACAGGCAGGGCGGCGAAGACGGGACTTCAAGTGAACGTAGAGAAGACAGAGGTGACAAAGATACCCAATCAACAACAACAGCAACAACAACAAGCTCCAATCACCATCAACGGGAGAAACTTAAAGGAAATAGCCTCCTTCACCTATCTAGGCAGCATTGTTTCAACTATAGGCGGCGACGGCACAGACGAGGATGTCAAAGTCAGAATCGAGAAAGCAAAATAGGCGTTTATTTGCCTGAAACCAGTGTGGAGATCTTCTGCACTGCACTCAGCATGTGGAACAAGATGCGGATTTTCAACACCAACGTCAGGGCAGTGCTCCTGTATGGTTCAGAGACTTGGCACGTTACGAAAGCGATTTCCAACAAACTACCGACACTCATCAACAACTGCCTACGCTGGCTCCTTACTGAAGATCAGATGGCCAGAAATAGTAAGCAACAAGGAACTCTGGCTATCAACGAACCAACCAAGAACCTATCACTCAACAAATATGCAGAAGGAAGTAGAGATGAATGGGATAGGGCATACACTGAGAAGGCCGACTGGGTACATCACGCGTCAGGCCCTCGAGTGGAATCCAAAAGGGAGGCGAAGAGTTGGGCGTCCGAGGGTGACATGGAGATTGTGCGAGGAGGAAATGAGAGCTTGTGGGCTGTCTTGGACCTAGGTTTAAAAGATTACAGAGAACAGAGCGCATTGCAGACGTGCTACTGAAGCCCTATGTTCCATTAGGAACCCAAGGGACAAATAATAATAATAATACATGTAAGGAGGTAGTGAGGCTTGCATAAAATACTTAGAAGTCAGTTTGGAATTGTTACAAACTTGTAGTCTGACAAAGTCGTTGTTATACATAGAATCCTTTTCGCGTCTAAGCTTAGTATATCAACATGTTGCGTTTCAAATAATCTGTCTCTGTTATTTTCTGCCTTGAGTCTCTTAATATCAATGTGGGACGTGAAATTACTGCGTAACAGTCCAAGTTGTCACATCTCACATCAAGGCAGAAGGCACCAATATGAAATATGAAAGAAAGTAGTAGAAAGTCATGAAAAGATGACAAGGGGTAAAACAGTAACAAAATTCCGCATGATAATCAAGATAATGTCTTGTTGCGGCTCTTCCCTTGACATCGGTTCTGAACCATATCATAACATACAATCTCCAAGCCCTAGTGATCTCGGTTTTAACGTAAACTCTAACAGGGAAGTCAACATCCCTCAACACTGCTAAAACAATGTTTCAGAGACTTCATGGACTGATGTAATAGTTCACTCTGACGGCCTATAACCTTTTTCCAGCCTTAATCTGATTCAACTGTTACACAAGTTGGTATTCATCATGGAATGACACCAGTTGGAGAAACATTGGAAACTTGGGAGCACTGGACAGCTAACTCGTCCTAGTATGGGACTCGACAGTGTGCACCCACCACCCCACGTCACTATGGATCGAACCCAGAACCGGCAGGTCTCATGACTAGCACGTCACCATTGAGTCACTCGGTCGAAATTCAGTAATCCATATTTCCAACTTCTATCAGTTCCCGACATAGCGCGACCGTCACACAATGTCACCGTTGAGTATATGTCCTCACGTCCACCAAGTTTGCCGCAACGGTCACGACTTCTCATTGGAACTTCAGGGATCACCTCTCAAAGCTAATCACCAAACAGCACTAGGTCAATTGAGTTTGGGAGTTTATTGATTTCAAACTAGCATTCATCGTGTATTGGTATAAGTCCGTGATGAATACCAACTCAAAATCAATAAATCCCCATGAGCCCTCAAAATGAACTGCTGTACAACACGATAGGCAGTAACTAGCCATGCATACTGTGTCTCCCAGTTGATGAAGGTTAAGAGCCTCATAGAATGACTTAATTCTTTTGCACCTTCAATATAATATTAGCGTTAAAACCGTCATTTTCAGGGTCAGATAACACTAGCTTCGATCATTTCCACTTTCGAAGTAAAGGAAACGTGTTGTTTAGCCTGTTCAGATTTCGTGTTTGTTCAGTAAGTAATATTTAGCATACATGAATTACCATACCGCTGCTATCCTATCACTTTGTCTAATCTAGTTCTTCATTGTTATCACCATACAGTAGATTCCAGAATCTGGTTAGCAGTCGGACCTCGTAGTTCAGTTGGTAGAACATCGAGACGAAAAGCCCGGTGGTCGCTGGTTCGAATTCGACTGCGGTCCGAATTTTCACTTCACCTTCAATCATCACCTAGTATAAATACTAGTCTGCCAAACCACGGCTATCTCAGATAGTCAAAATGATACTAATAGTTTCTCAACTAGCATGAATGACTACGTAGTTAATGCCAAGCTCAAGCAAATGTGGAAGTATTTATTCTCATTACTTACTGGTACCCAAAACATGTGAAATAAACAAGGAGCACAAAAGCTGTTGCTAGTAATAGTTCATTTCAGTACTATGAGATTCTGAATAAAAAAATATTTTACAATTAAACTGAAAGCAAATATCACAGACATTGACTTTTACTGTACAATATAAGTAAACGAAAAACATAGGACTTCTGTTTAGTGCAATAGACCCGGTTCAAGTGATACAAATTTCTGGTGGTTACAGTTCGTTTTATTGGCTAGTAGGCTAGAAGCTGTCGGTTCATGCATATGTGGAGGGTGTGCAGTTACTTGGTTGACTCTACTTTTGCGATGTCGTTTGCGACGTCGCGTTTTCGGATGTTTAGATGGTTCGGTTGTAAGTTGGAGATCATTTAGTTTTTTCGCACTACTGTCCGTAACTGAAATGGGTTTGTCATCATCAGCATCGCTTGCCGCTAGTTGTGACGCTATTTCAGGTTCATAACCTTCTGATATTAAGTACTTCAAACGGTCAAAGTAACGAGACCTTGCCTCTATTTCCCAAATGCGATTAGACCGTTCTAACTTGCTTGCTGTAGCATATGTCCGTAAGTTGTAAACAGCCGAGACAGGGTTTCCACTAGGGAAATGTACATGGTGCTTCGAAACCCTCGGCTTTTCTTCAATAAGATATGAATCTGATATGCGTCGACTCCTTTCTTCATCACCAGATATATTCTTGGCTCTCAGGTTATTCTTATTGTACATAAATGACCATTTTCGATTCACTTCAATAAGTTGTTTGTTTTGGATTCTCGAGGGTATAGTGAAGCAAGTTCTAGTCTCATGTGCTGACAGTTTGTTGTGAGAATCTCTTGCAGCTGATCGCAATACATACAACTCTGGTGTACAGTGAATTTCAACGGAAAATGTTTGTTCTGGACTATCACTGTCATCTGACGAGCTAGAAAGTTGAACAGATCGGAAGAAATCAGAGTGGCCTTGGGGGAGTATTGAACGAAAAGTCAGCGAAAAATCTAGCCCGTCTCCCTGATCAGAGATCCCAACGTCACTGTCACAGTACAGTAAATCGAACAGTTGACGACCATGAGAAGGACAAACCCAATACTGCCTTTTCACACATAGTTTTGTACTGAACAAAGTTATGTGATGACGATCGGATTTTATGCGTAAATGAAGTAAAGACGCTAAACTACATGTTGGATATTTCCGATTTAAATTAAATCCATGCAAAACAGCTTGGATGGCTCGCGTGAGACTGTGAAACGGTGAGGATGAGATAAAAGTTTTGTTGACACTTGTCTTCGCAGTTTTTATCACCTGTAATTCCTTGGCAGCAAGCTGGTGGTACAAGCGTCTGAACCAGCAATGCTTACACTGAAGTAGGTTCCATAATATGTGAAGATCACTAGTAGGAAGCAGAGAATGTGAGCCAAAGTGAACTGTGGGTCCGATTGACCAACTTTCTGTCATCTAAAAACCAAGTAAAAGAGATAGAACTTGTGTAGACAGAAAGAATTCATTAGCACAAAACCAATAACAATCATCGGAAAAGGTTCCCCTGAAGAAAAATTTAATCAAACCCACTCATATGCATCAATTAACAATCTATTCCAAAACTCTTCAAATTATGGGTGGGCTTGTAACGGCAAGAAATTTACACTTTCTCTTTGGATTTTTTCATATGGTCACCAATACATTCACATAAGACTAGTGAGGTCTAGCGGTCATAAAGTGAAACTTAGGTTAAACTTGCTGATACATCTAAAAACAGTTTTATTTTGAGTTACTGGTGGCAAGAAGCCTGATGCTGATAAGACAGTCTGAAATTTACATGATATTTTAACCAACAATCTTCAGCAGTCTGCAACACGAGGTGGAGCATACACCTGACCAACAGTGCTCAGAATAAGGAAAAAGCAATTCAGTCGGGTTTGTGAGGATTAATTGATTTGAAGTTGATATTCATCACGGAATGAGATCAGTCGGAGAACAAACGAAAACCTGGGGCGCTTGACAGCTGTTTCGCCCAGTGGGGTAAACCAAGTCGGACGTGAGGGCAAATACTTAACGATTGGACTGGATGAAGAATTAGGAACATTTAGACGACTGGATTCCGACCCAGTGGCTCAATGACAACGGGTTCGCTACCAGACCTGAAATTTTCGGGTTTGAGTCTTGGCAGGGTCGTGGGTGCACACTACTGAAGAGTTCCATGCCAGGACGAAACAGCTACCCAGTGCTTCTAGGTTTTTAATGGTTCTTCAACTGATGTAAGTTCGTGATGAATACCAACCTGAAATGAGAAACAGGTCTTGAAGAGATGCTAAATAGAAACAACACAAAGCGCCTGAATCTGAAAAATTATTCATAACTTCTGAAGATGTAAGCGAAACTTAAGGTTAAGGATCTAACTGAACTTTTCAACTAATTACGGCGGTCTGAGATCCCTACTTTTCTGGAAAATGGGTCTATGGAATGTAAAGCAAACTGATTTGTATATAGGTTTACCACTATTTGCATCTAAAATGCTGTTTGCTATCGTATTTCGAAGAATAAGCAAAACATATGAAAGGCTGGCCTATAAGGAGTACACAGTTTCGTTCATGCCTCGAATGGACCGATCCAGTGTCCATTAAGTGTCGAAGGCCCGAACCTTGTTATATATTTCTCTGACTCAAACGCGGAGCCGTATTTCCTAACGTTTGGATTAGCTACAGTTAGATGGCCAGGAATATGCTATGCAGTTTTCTATTAGATAGCAGTGTTTATAGTAAGTGCATTAACACCTTGAGGGCTTGATACGATGAAACCTCAAGTAGCATGAAAACACGTAATCGCTCATCGTCGCTTTCCTAAACAAGTTTCCACAAATGGCATTCTTAAGGAGATTAATGAGGTGGAGATGTTAATCATATGAACAATCCGAACTTGTGCATGCAAAGAGATACACATAACATGGGATCTGGTATTACTCCCGACCGGCATGCTACATTGAAGTCGTAGTTAGTCTTATGTATCATAATGACCAAACGAGCTTTGTTGATTCTAACGACTATTCTTTGAGTTTTTAATACGCCAGAAGAATTTGTTGGATAAATAGATGAAATGCACTCAGCAACCTTGTGCAGATTCCTGCAGTAGGCAGTGAGCCATATCTATTGTATGAGGGCTAGTGATCCTAAAGGGCACCAACCTGTGACCCAATGGTTAAAAGTCATCTGCGTAAGGCAATGAGTCACAGCTACAAAGAAAAGTTTGTTGGACATTGATAAGACTAAAAGCAGCTGTCATTATAGTGCAATTGATATACGCTACAGGGTGGTCGAGAATGAAGCAGCACTGCTGGCTGTATAGGATTTGACAGTAGTAAGGTCATTCGCACAGATAACCAGTATTACAATGTGATTCTACTTCACCCTATTAGAACGTGGGTTAGGAGAGTGGTGTGGAGTTTACTCCTAGTACGGATGTAACAACTAGATCCAAAATTTCCAAGATAGTTTACGACTTGCCTCAACCAGATGCATGACGGGATCTGTAGACACATAAAACAAATTCGCTGTCTTTCAGGAATCTTATGAAAATACCGACTTTTGCGATGTGGGGAGCTGGAAAGAATCAATTTCTTCAACGCTCCTAATAACATAAAATCCCATCCAACAGTAAGCTACGCTACTAACCTTTTTTCTCTCCTGGAATTCACTGGTCATTCCTGTAGTCAAAATTATACTTTCTACCGTTACCTCAAATATAAAGCACTACTGGAGAGGATCGGTGAGGGACTGCTAGTCTTTGATAAGTATCTGCATGAACTCCAACCACGCGATTATACGAGTATGTGTGCATTTGAACATTAATAGAGGTAGGAAGTTAACGATAAGAAAGCCTCTCTGCTCTCAATCAGCTGGAAACATCGTATGTTTAAGGGGTAACGTAGTTAAGTTAGGGTAACCAACCGAAAGATTTCAGCAGCAACATACCAACTAATTGACGCGAGAAGACTGATTCCAGTTGGTCCTGACCACGATGAAGAGAGAAAGGAACTTAAACGTAAATTGAATAAGTCTTTGCGTCCATCACGAGCAGTGGTAGGTGGCGAGAGCGACAGAAGTGAAGGCATCAGTTTCGGGTAAAACCCAGCAACTATTTAGTCTTATTAAGAATACCGATGAGAAGAAAACGATTGTTAGCGTAACCATCACCGAAAAGGATTGGACACCGATAACCTCCAACTACAAGCGGCTAGATCATCGGGCAGAACACTTCGAGGCTTAGTTCAACTGGTCCTCAGCAACGTTTCAGTTGCCCAACATTCAGCCCGAACCTGGATGGGATGTAGATGCCGGTCCTCCAACTCTCCTCGAAGTTAAGAAGGCTGTGTTGAACATTGAGCGAGGTAAAGCAGCAGGACCTGACAGCTTATCACCTAATGTTTTTAAGGATTGGGGTAAAGAATTGCCGACTAGAGACACGGAGGTACTCAGTAATACATGAGAACCAGAGGACTGGTCCAATTTTCTGATTATCCCAGTCTACAAGAAGCAAGAGAAGTCTTCCTGTGACAAACATGGGGGAATCAATTTGCCTAATATTATATCCAAGATACTAGAACCCGATGCCTGACTGGAGTTCGAGGAGAGCAAACTCCAAAGAACCAGGCAGTTTTTAGGAACGAGCAAGGGAGAATCAACGAGATTTTCATCCTTCGACGGGTTCTGGAACACAGATATACTCACCGAAAGTCGATACTTGCCATATTCCTCAACCTGAAGGCGGCATTTGAGTCAGTCGAACGTGAGGTGTTGCAACAGTCTGACTATGAACGGATACCGGACAAGTAAAGGACGCTAATCAATGCTCTCTAGTCGAACTCACGTCACAGTTGAAGGGCTTATGGAGAGTTGTCTCCAGAATTGAGGACAACTAGTGCTGTCCCCCAGGAATGCCTACTATCACCGTTCACATTTAACTTCATTATAGACGTATTAATGGGCATAACCCGACGTACGTCTGACTTCACAAGGATTGACTTACTCACTAGAAGCCATCTGGTTGACTTGGAGTCAGCAGACGATATTGTCTTGGTGGGTGAAGATTCTACAAGATGCAGGATACTCTGAATGCATGGAAAAGAAATCTGAGTATATTTCGTATACGTTTCCCACCTGTCAAATGTAAGATGATGCCACAGAACTGGTCTGTAACCACTCCCAGTTTATTGATAGGTACTGAAGTGGTGAAAGGTGTCGACCACTCCAACCAATTAGGGAGTTGTGTCAGCCCGAATGGGATGGTCCCTAACTAAATCCTAGCTCGGATACAGAAGGCCCGTTTGGCACTTGCCAACTTGCGTCATCTGTAGCGCCAACTGACGAAATATCCGACTTCATCAAAGGACGAGTAAAGTACGCTGAAGTCCTTCCTGTCCTGTTATACAGTTGTGAGACGCAACCGTTGAAAGTAAAAGATATGAAGCAATCACAGATTTTTGACCACAGATGTCTTCATAGCACTGCCCGCGATTGGTGAAATCACCATGTAAACAATGTGAGGTCAGGTAAAGGGTGCTAGGCCAGACAGGCAGGTCAATTGATGAAGTTATGGACCTTTTATCGGCTGGGGTACCTTGGACATGTGTAGTACATCCTAATCCACCTCCTAACTTGAGGTGAGATGTTAGGGGAAGCCGGATTGAGATGGAAGAGGGTTCGTGGCCAGACTAAAACGTGACACCAGTCCATGAAGTCTCATAATGTTGGTCTGTGGTGTGTAGGAAATGTAGACTGTTTGGTTGGGGTCTCCGAGACGACAAGAATCAGTGGTCGGAGACGGTTGGTGATATGGCTGGAAATCGGTCATAGTGGCGCAGACGTATTTACTCTTTGACATCTTTTAAAGCTGGAATATCCACACTAACCTTTGTCTTCAAATTGTTTGTTATCCACTGCAACACAATTCTGTTTACTTTAGATTCACTTTTTCTTATCCACCCATTTTTTGGGTACTACAGTGAGGTGTGGCAACCTGAGCCGATGCGCCTGTGCGAGGTTCTATGCTGATTTTGTGTCTGAACAGCAGCACTAACCATAGCAAGCTGACTAATTACTTAACTGATTATTTTCGTTATCTGCAGTTTTTTTTGAACTGGGGAAACAACTGACCATTCCAAACAAAGAACATATTCCATTGAGATAGACGTTCAACCCAGGGAACCATTGTTCATTATTTCTACAAAACGAAGTCTGCGACACTAAATTACTATTCCCAAGTCATAACCCTCGTGTACACTAGTAGGATGAACACAAGTAGCAAACAAATAAGATATTTACTTAAGGATGCAAAAAGACCAACAAACAAATGACTTCTGTTTTTAAGTGACGTTATTTAAAGACAAGTTATAGACAATTTTTAAAGAGAAACGATCCCAAAAGACTGGAAAAGGAGGTTCGTAGGCTACAACTTAAGTGTCCTAGTATGGCTGATGATCTGCTTAAAGATGAAAACTGAGATAATTTCAAACTTTGTGTTGTAGAATTAGCGAACAGCGGTTCCTTGGGTTCTACGTCTGTCTTATCGGAATACGTTCTGAGTTTGGAATAGTCCCAATTATCTTCCCAGTTCTGAAAAACCTGAAAGGATAGAGATACGATTAATTAATTAATCTGGTCTCAAGTTAGTATTACTGCATCTGACCTAGGGAAAGCTTCTCGAGTATAGCCCATCGGTACCGTAGGACTCGAGGTGCGCGTCTAGCCTCCTTTTAAAGGTATCAGGAGATGGGGCTGTAACAACTGCTGAAGGGAGGGAATTCCACAGTTTACAGACTCTGCAAATGAGTTAGCACGGATCTTTGTACGTGCTCTCTCATGCTCTATTCTTAACGGGTGACCCCTCAAGTCGCGTTTCCGACTAAAGCTTAGAAGGGATCTGTTGGGATGGAGGGGATTATGGGCGATGTGGTACATCATGATCATATCCCCTCTGGTCCTCCGGTGTTGTACTGGGTGCAGCTGAAGAGCAACTAAGCGGTCTGGCTACGGTTTGTGCCGTAACCCAATCACATTCTTTGTAGCTCTTCTCTGTGCCCGTTCTAGGATGGCGATGTCCTTTTCCAAGTATGGGGAGATTACAAGAGAATTTTTTTCTAAATGAGCACGAATGTACAGAGCATACACTGTGGTGAAAAGAGGAGTCAGACACCCTAAGGTTCACGAGAGAAACCCCAAGATTCCATAAGCCCTATTGGCTGCAAGGCGACAGTGAACAGAGGTTCCTAGTGTATCATTTAGTGTAACTCCCAGATCTTGTTCCATGTTAGAGTGACAGATATTTATCTCACCTAGAGAGTAAGAACTGGGACTCTTTTATATTTGTCAACTATCATAATTCGACACTTCTTCGAGTTGAAAGGAAGCAGGTTTTCTGTAGTCCAATTAAAGAATTTCGTAAGGTCCTCCTGGAAGACCTAAATATCTGTTGGTTCCTGTATTCCCCTTCAGATCATCGGCATATAATAGTGAATGTGAATTAAGGACCCTGGTAGGTCATTGATAAAAGCAAGAAACAGCAGTGGGCCTAGTATGGAACCTTGAGGCACACCACTCAGCATCGGGAACCAATCAGATAGAGAGGAGCCAACTCTAACTGACTGCACCCTGGTGTACAGATAATCCCTAAGCCAGATTAATAATTTTCCGTGTACACCCATGAGCTGGAGTTTCTTACAAAGGATATCATGATTTACCCTGTCAAAGGCCTTAGAAAAGTCAAGTAAACCAATGTGTATAGGCTTTTTCTTCTCGACAGAGTGTCCAGCTATTCCAAGCTATCAACAAGTTGGTGTTGCATGACCTTCCTGGTAGAAAGCCATGCTGACAGTCGTTTAGGATTGATTTCTGAAGTAAGTGATCACGTAGTGAGTCATTTATGACTCTCTCCACGACCTTCGCAACTGAAGAGATCAGGGAGATTGGTCTGTAGTTGGAGGCAAGTAGTTTGTTTCCACCTTTATAAATTGGGATGACAGCCACCCGTTTCCAATCAGAGGGTAACCTGCCTTCCAGAAACGAGCATCTGAAGAGGTTTGCTAGTGGAGCACACAGAACTTCAGCACACTCCTTGAGTGCTCTTGGGTGAATACCATCGATTCCTGGAGACTTATTCGGGTTCAGTTTCTTTAATATTCCCGTAACTACAAAGGGTTTAAAATCTATATGATTTAGTCCCTCTGTGATACGGGTGTCCGACAGAGGCGGGGTTTTGTCTCCCAAATGGCAGTTGTTTTGGAACTCATGAGCTAGTAGGTTTGCAACTTCGGAGTTGGAATAGAGAATCTCTAAACTAATGGGGTCCTGTAAACTTAGTGAACTGTTACTCTTCTGTTTCATCAACGAGTACAGTATCCCATGATTCCCCTCCAGGATTGTACAAAGTTGTGACTGGTGGTTTATTCTGTTATTTCTGATCCTTACTAAACATTTGTCACGGATGTCTTTATAATTTAGCCAGTCAAAAGGGCTATTAGTGCACCTCCATAGATTCTAAGACGACCGTTTACGCCGTATTAGTTTGCGCGTGCTAGACTTAAGCCAGGAGGAGTAGAACTTGTCACTTCTTCTTGGGATCAGAGGAGTGTTGTCTTCTATCGTCTGTAGGATTATATTCTTCAACAGACTCCATCTAGCATTAAGATCCAGGTCATCGCAATTTAAGCAAGCGGAACCTTCTAGATCTTGCCGAACCTCCTCGAAATTAGTTTTCTTGTAATTCCTAACTAGAGGCCGATCGGGAACGGAAGGCTTAGATACAGAAATATTGAAGGAGATAACTGCATGGTCACTTAGGCCAAGAGGGCTGAAAACATTCAAGTTGCTTACCCCAATGAACTGATTTGTGAAAATATAATCTAGTCCGGATGTCTTACCGTCGGCCCCCAGCGAGTACACTGGGAAACATGTTCTGTCGTTTTCCAGTAACAACAATTCCCGAAAGTCTTTTAGAGCAGTAGATGGACTTTCTGTGGTAAAGAGTTGAGGAAAGTTAAAATCTCCCATAATGAGGACCTGTGGGAAGTTCAGTTCCAGGGCTCCTCTAATGGACTGTATTAACATTTTATTTAGCATTGCATCAGATGCAGGAAGGATAAGTTAGGAAAAAAAACTAATCGTAGACACCGCACTCACCGAAGAACTTTGAATAACTTTCTGCAATAGTAAGTACTATTTCTTTGTAGTTTGACACAATATGATAGAAAATTATGCATGGGAACATTAAATCTATTATCATCTGACAGGTGGAAATGCGTTTTAAAAATGCCGCTCACACCTGATTTTCAAAATGCAAAATCAATAGTACAAGTAGATGAAACTTGTAGTTTTTGGACTCTTGTTTCTACTTCTTGAAGCTTAGTTCCTTTCTTCGTCTTTACTTTATTAGTGGTCCAAGTAGTTTTTACAGTTTACCTGCTGATAGATTTGGAAGTAGTGGTTAACTATTTGAAGGTTTTCTTTTGCAAGTTGCAAGTCTGTTTGTATGGAGAAGCAGTGGAGCCGCTGATAAGACGAAGTAACTTTAGGCGATTCCTGTTCATGTAGGCACTTTCAACATGGGTCATTTAAAAATTAGTGGGCGAATTATGGCAAGTAGTGAATACGAGAAGAGGTGTGAAAAGTGCTTGTGGAAACATAAGTATCACCGGTAACATGTAGAAGGAACAAGTCTTGTCACAGATACCGTGGTTTGAGAACACAGGGATGGATGAACATATATTTAGTTGGCACCGATAAAGGGTCGTGGCAAGTCGTTTGCGCTCACAGACTTATCCAGCAGTCGATTGAAGGGGTCAGCTGGTGTATCTGAGGCCGCTTATTTCGGCAGAACGTCCCTTAATCTTACTGTCCCCTTTTCATTTGGTAAGGCATATGAGTGAGGTTCTCGCAAGGCCGTTTGTTTTGAACCGGTAGTGTCCTGTTGGAGTGGTTTACTTAGTGAATGATCTTGTAGGCCGTTATAAAGTCGCTCCTTTTCCTTCGGAAGCCTAAGGAAAACGAGCTGGGTTCTCTATGGCGCTTCGTGCACAATTTGCGTGTAAGTTTGATGAAAGATCGTGTAACCGTTCCCTTCACCTTCTCGAGAGTACTCGAGTCTCTCTTTAGTAGACGAGGGAGCATCGTGCTTAACACATCCAGGTGTGATCTAACGTAGGTGTTAAATACTATGAGAAATTGTTCAGGGGAAGCGGTTCAACAGGTTCATTCTCAAAGAAGTGACGCCGGCTGACCTCCCCAAGGGTTATCATTCAGTAACTACAATATACAGCCACACATCATTTTTAAAGGTATTTATAGAATTCCTACGTAAACTGCAAGTTTCTTAAGGTCAGGTAGCTTCAACCTCTTTTCATTAGAAGGCATACGTGTTGTATGTCGTTAAGATGAAGCATGAAGAATAGGCATTCACAAATTGACAGGATGGACGAGTGGAAGTGTTTTTTCCGCATTAACAAACACCAGGGCTTGTATATAATCATTTGATGCATTGCCTGGGGAAAAGTAAACTTTGAAAACATTACCTCCAGGTTACTGTTCCTAACTGCTGATGATGCCAGGATGATTTTTAACTTATGGTACATGATAATGTGGTTTTCGCCTCATATTTGCGACCAGTTTTATCTAAACAATCACGTAGTTGAGGACACTGCTTATAGGCCGATGATTTGTGCCCCAATCTTTTCCCGGCCTCACTAAGAGCCACAACATTTAGACGTCACCTATGAAAGCGGCTTGTATTCGCACAATTCACTATTCGAAATAACCTATTATTGATATCATCATCGTTATTGGTGTGATTTCACTTTTACACTATCCTTCTGGTCATATTCGTCCCACTTTCTAAGGGAGTTAACGAGGGAGAAGCGTTACTATGAAAACACGGAGCAACAACAGAGAGAAAACGGCTGCTGTCAGACAAGCGTGAATGCCTTAGTGTCTGAATAGCGCTTTGTGACCTCCATCCAGAGCCACAGATGGGCATATCTGTTGACATCCGATTTGATTTGCCCCACCAATCATGAAAGACTGAGGGAAATCCCATCTCGAGGAAAGTCATCACTAGGCGCATGAAAACAACTTCATTTTGCGCCCAGCCAAACAAGAATGCTGAAATAACGCATGGGAATGAGGAAATAATTCTGGCTAATTGACTGATTAGGAGTGCTGAACTAATGCTGAAATGCGACAATTAAGAGGATTTTTGCGGACTACCCGCATAATTTACGTACTTGCAGAATAATTTAAGCATGCAAGCGTGAACGCAGCTTTAGTCGCGCACAATTTCCGCCCTATTTCCTCACTAGCCGCATTAATAACGCAAGCTTCCCGCCTTAGTCCTGCACTGTCCGCCTTAGTTGAGCCCCGCCGCTCTAACTACCCAAAATTATCACCTTATTTCAGCAAAGCCCGCATTATTTCCGCACTAACCGCATTACTTAGGCAAAATTACAGCCCTATTTCAGCTTTAGCCGCATTAAATCAACAGTATATACGTATTATTTCAGTGTTACTAGCGCACTAGTTGCCTTATCTACCTGCACTACCCGACATATTTAGTTGTTTGTTGAAAAGGGATAAACTATACGTTGTGATAGGGTGTATAAACATTTTGAGGATATTTATAAAAAATTGTTTTGCAACTACTAGGTTCCCATTCCTTTTCTTCTCCACTATCGCGAACATCCTGTAGAAAAGAGGGTTTATGGTGTACATGCCGACATTGATTTAGTCATCACGTAAAACTGAAATTTTGAAAGTTAACCTACCGGTTCGGGTTGGTCATCCGTATTGCTTAAAGTTGACCTCTGTAAATAAAGGATTAAATAATTCAGGCGTTTTTAGCGGTGAAAGACAAATAATTTTTTGTAGCATGCACCATGGAACTTACGAAGGCTTTCGGCTTCAGGTGCCCAACTACCGTGTTTCGGACGTTGTGGAAGAAGGACTTTGCGGTACCATCCATGGTACCTCCAGTTTCAGGTTGGAAAATAATGGTCCGACAAACTTGGAAGTTATGACACCTACAGGGAGCACAGCTATAAACGTGAGCCTTGCATCCCATTATTTTGCAAAAGTCGTAGTTCACGATCCCGGCCTTTCGTGACTTCCCCATCATGATAAACTGCATACCCAGACCTGGTTACAATGCGCTGTTCATCATTACCTTCAATGATGACTCGGACTCATCTTGTAGCTTTGTCATCATCTTCATGATCTGCAAATTAAGGTTTTGTTGATTGTAACGCACAGATATTCCTCTGAGGTGTTCATCCTTCAAAAACACTTCCAAGAGATTCAACTGGTCCTCCGCTACCAGAGGAAAGTATTCATGAAGGCTGTCGATGGGAATGGTACCGGAGGCTGGCGTTCCGTCCATGGTTCCGGCCGAGAAAAGTGGAGGCACCTTCGTTGTTACTTTCGACACTTCAATAATTCCCTCTGCATACCGCTATGGGGGTGAATTACTACTTACGCAGAAGTTTCGGTCGGAATCTAAGAATCCCTCTCATAAAGGACTCTTTTGATGGGGACCTAGAGGTGTTCAAAGTAAGTAGACTTACAAGCTGCAAACACTGTCGTCATTTCAGGTTTTTGCTAGTACTGGCGAAGGTGCGGCAAACATTCCTCTGCCAGACGTGCTGTAGAAAGTCAGGCGACATTTGAAAGCGTGCCTTGAGATTGGTGGAAGAGGTGGCTCCAAGCAGCTTGTCAAAGGGTATTTACTTTGACCGCATGCTACCTGCACTTCAGCCACTCAAATGTCTACGAAATTGTGCAGGAAGTAAGAAGAAGGCTTTTCAGATTCTCTGAAGGATCATTAGCGATTAACATTTGGTTCACCTTTTAGTTTTCTAAGCACCCGTACGCAACCAACTCCTCGTAAATATCTGAAGTGGACTCAGTAGGCCTCTAGAAACCGGCCAGCAGTTTCAAGGGTTTTCCGCTTCCTTAAGGGAGACTGAACTGAATGTTACTGTAACTTCTGACTTACCACAATGATATAATTTTCGGCACTTGATCAAATACTAACCTGGACCTTTAAAGTCTTCATCGATTAGAAGTTGATTTTAGCCTCAGGGTTATGCATGCACAACCCAGTTCGGAGCATTCACGAACTATGAACGACGAAAAGTGCGTCTTCCGGTGTCTGGATCAAGAAATATTTCATATATTAATTTAATTATGCACTACGTTGCCCAAACCATGATGACCCGAGGTCGGACGGTAGCACTAAGGGAAAACGGTTCCATGAATCCATAAAATTATCACTTAACCTGGCGGCTAGACAACGCATACTGATGGCGCAGTCACAAAGTACCATGTTTAGGTGAGCCAAACACAAAAATCCTAGTTCGGTTCTGCCACAAAAAACCATAACGCAGAAACGGCTTGGTCATCATCGAAGTAATTACTTTTAGTCTGGTAAACCTAGTGGTTATAACACCATTCAGAGAGTGATCCAGTTTCCCTACACAGACACCTTCACGACGTCCATTGGTGTGGCACCTTCATTAACCAACAGAAAGGTAGGATTCATACACCAAGGTGGTAAAAAGAAAGGGTACGTGCGTAAGAATGCTCATAACACAAATACCTCCTGCAGTTGAGAGAATAACGGTTACAGGAGAAACGACAAGTTTTTCTCCTCACAGTCATCTGTGCAACATTCGGCCGCAATGTTTGCTCACCCCGGTACAACGATATCACCGCCTAATTGGAAGCCTGCTGTTCAGATGAAGCCTGTGATACTGGCACTCAGCACAGTGCACCCTACCCTTTCCCGTGCAGAAGTGAAACCACGGAGCTACATGGCTCATTTCCACTGATATCCGTACCCTAGGCTCACACTGATAATTCAAGTTTTCAAGGACAACAAAAGTTAATAGCGCCCTTTGCTGCTCAGATGATGACGCTTTCAAGCCAGCTGCTTCCAGCTCTCAACCCACAACCGCTACAGCAGCCGGGAAGATGTTACGCCAACCTGTCATCCCCCAGCTCACATACGGTGGACCAACACCTGAAACAGGAAAGGATAATATTAGTAGCAACCCAAGAATATCTTATCCCCTCGGTATGTCCCCGAAACTAAAGACTGCCCTGTTTCTCACCACTGCGGTTCAGCTTAACCCACGAGCACAAGCTTTCCGGAAACGGGTTTGGGCACTACTGCTCATTCAATTCGTTGGCGTTCTGTCTGATTAATGTCCGTTCCATAAGCAAAAAGATAAATGAGATCACTATGTTGTTGATTACGTCAAACCTCAGCCTATGATTTACCCCTGATGGTGATGTCACTGTCGACAGTTATACTTCATCTAGG